GCCAATGTTAGATAAATCTTGACTGAAAGCATAGAGCACCAGAGGAATGTCTATCTGTGTTTCCTTGATTAGGCAAAGGCATTTGACTGTGTGGATCACAACAAACTTTGGCTGACTCTGAGAAAACTGGAATCTCAGAACACTTGATAGTGCTTATGTGAAAACGTCCTTTGAACAAGGAGGCAGTCGTCAGAACAGAGCAAGGAAACACTGCACAGTTCAAAATCAGGAAAGGTGTGTGTCAGAGATGCATCCTATCTCCATACCTTTCAGTCTATGTGTGGAACAGATCATGCGGGAAGCTGAGCTCTATGAGGAGGAATGTGGCATCAGGATTGAAGGAAGACTCATCAACAACCTGCAATATGCAGAAGACACAACCTTGCATGCCAAAACTGAGGAGGATCTGAAGATTGAAGTTCAGCATCAAGCAAACAAAGATTCTCAAAACTGGGAAAATTGGTAGCATCATGATAGATGGAGAGGAGATTGAGATTGTTAATAGTTTCAGCTTGCTTCAATACAATAAATGAATTGCACTGGAAAAATCTGCTGTCAGAGACCTCTCCAAGAGTACTGAAGAGCAAAGATGTCGGTCTAGAGACTAAGGTGTGCCTGACCAGGCCATAATCTTCCCGATTACTTCCTATGCATCAGAAAGCTGGACAATCATTAAGGATAATAGAAGAAGAATTGATGCCTTTGTGTTGTGGTTCTGGAAAAGAGTATTGAATATACCATAGACTGCTAGGAGAACAAAGAGCTTCATCCTGGAGAGGGTGAAGCTGGGCTGCTCCTTGGAGGCAGGGATTCTGAAGCTTTGTCTGACATACTTTGGACATGTTACAAGGAGGAACCAGCCCTTGCAGAGGGACATCATGCTTGGAAGGGTGGAGGGACAGTGCAGGAGAGGAAGACCTTGATGAGATGGATTGATTCAGTGGCTGGGGTAATGGAGATAGGTGTGTCAGAGACAATGAGGTTGGCACAGGATAGAGCAGGGTTCTTAGCTGTTAAACATAGGGTCGCTATGAGTTACAAGCAACTCAACAGCAAATTACAACAACAAGTTTGCCTAACATGATGTCCTTTTGCTAAAACTGGCTTTGAAAAATCTAGAATAGACAAACGTAGACTGAAGTAGGTAAGTGGTTACCAGGGGAAAGGGATAGAATGGAGAGAAGAAAAGATTTATAATTTCTTTTACCTTTCCCTCCTCCCATCCTGCCCCCCAGTTATAGGAAAGGGTAATTTATTTGATCTTTTCCAGAAATCAACCAAATTTGAGTCTGATTTACCAAACTTACTAATAACATTTGTTGTTGTGTTGTTGTTGATTGCAGTTGAGTCGAGCATGATTCCTAGTGACCCTATGAAAAAAAGACCTGAAGCCTTTCTATAACTATTGTTTCTAAAAGTTTATGGAGTTTTCAGAGGCATGTTGTTTAGGAAGTGAATGCCAGTAGTAATAAATAATTATTTTTTTCTTGAAATGGAATCAAGCAGAAATGAGAGACCCAGTCTCCAAATTGGACTCAGTGTTCAATCACTTCTCACAACTCTGGTCCAATCCACCCTGGAATCTCCATGGATTATTCCAACAACTTCCTCATCCATCATCTAGGACAGCCCTGCACTCTTCAGTCTATCTTCCACCAAGCAGCCAGAGGGATTCTGTAAAAACTCTATTCAATGCCCAGCAAGGAAAGGCCAATGTTCCATGATGATGCTGCCAGCCTGCCACCTATAACCAAGTCTCCTATTACTGTCCCCCAACTGTGCACTCCATTCCTCCACTCCAGCCATACCAATTTCTGTTGCTCACCCTCCCACCTCAGGGCGCTGACAGGCGACCACCCCCTTTGCTGGCAGGTTCTTCCCTTAGATGCGCACAAGCTCCTTGCTCTGTCATCTCCCTTGTCTTTACTCCTAAGCAAAGAGTCTCCGGTGACTCTTCTAAAATGTCATCTCCACACTCTACCTTTTGCATTGTCCTTCCTTACATACTTTTTTTGCCTTTGCACTAATTGTTATCTCATGTGTTCTCTATTCTATTTCCTGATCCTGTTTCTTGTCTGATCGCCCTCCTGACATGCTAGCTGTTCAAAGAATGGAATTTTCTTTCTTTTGTTCACTACCATGTCCTCAGAACAGCACCCAATACAAAACCCACCCCACTGCCCACAGCCATTGTGCCTGTTCTTACTCATGGCGGCCCCACATCACAGAGTAGAGCTGCCTTTGCTAGAATTCTCAGGATTGTCATCTTTACAAAAGCAGGCCACCAGGTCACTCTCCCTGGCCTCGCTGTATAGGTTTATAGTTGAGGGGATCACCCAGGAACTGTGCATCCCAAGGAAGGAACCTCCATTTATTTTGTTTACTCTCAAGTCCTGAATCCCTAGAACAGCACCCAATGCACAATAACAGAATTACTGATGAGCTGCAGAACTGTGGCTCCACACAGGAATGAATAATAACGCATCTCCTCTTTAGGACAGCAGTGACTGGAGGACTGATTAAATATCGTCATACAGCAGTCTTGTCTGTCTCCTGAGAGACACTCGATATAAAATAATTATAGGAAGGATTATTCAAAATATGGAGCCAGCCAGGCCTGAAGGAGGCCACCAGCCAGGGCACTGGAGTGCACGTCCGGTCATAGATCTACCCTTGTATCTGTTGCTAAGTCATCTGACAGAACCACATCCTATTTTTTAGTTCTCATCTTTCTGGGAATCTAACAGAAAATAAGAGCCCTGGTGGTAAATTCGTTAAGTTCTTGGCTGCTAACCAAAAGGTCAGCAGTTCAAACTCACCAATTGCTCTGTGGGGTGAGGGGTGGGGAGAAGGAAGTCTGCTCCCATAAAGGATTTAGCCTTGGAACCCCTGTGGGGCTGCTCTGTACTATAGAGTTGCTATGAGTCAGAATTGACTCAAGAGCTATGCTCTGTTGTTTTCTTGGTTTGATTTTTTTAAAGGAGGAAATTATTTGCGAGGGCAAGGTAAGATGGCAATAAAGCGTGGAGGATTTGTAGGCATCAAGATGAGTCACCTGCCAGCCTATATGGACGCAGCTCAGTCAACACCAACAGTAAAGTCCCTGGGCTAGCCCAACAGCTCCCGAATACTCGGCACAGAATTAAACGGAAATAACAATGTTTGGTTGCATATGGGGGGGGGGGCACACTGTCACAGTTCTGAGACTGTGATCCTCTGATTGGGCTTACCCTTATTTTTACAGCCTCCAGGCTGCTTCTTCAAGCCTCTGTTTCTTAGAAAAACAAAACAATCCACAAACACACGGCACCCAAACCTGGTACCTTTCCCCAGCCAGAGGTAAGGACTCAACTAAACTAGTTGCCGTGGATCTAGTCCAGTTCATGGTAACCTCGCATGCCTCTGACTGGAACCTAGCAGCTATGACCTTTTGGAAGCAGAACATCAAGTGTTTCTTCCAATATGCTTCTGGGTTGATTTAGACAGCTAACTTTTGGTGAATAGCTGAGTTTTTAACTGTTTATACCACCCAGGGAGTCACTTTTGGAGTTTACCTTCCTCTCACGGGATCAGTGCCAGATCCAGCAGAGGGAATAAAAAGTGGCATGGGGGCTGTCCTAAGGCTGAGGACGAGTCACAATGATGACTAATCCCCATGGACGGCAAGGAGCCAGTGCCTTGTTCTTGAGTTCCAGTTTCTCAGTGCGCCAAGGAAGAACTTTTTAAAGGCAGTGACTGTCCACCAGGGGGCGACGAGCACAGCCAGGGAAGGAGAGAAGTGACCATTGACCACAAGCTCCCAGGGGAGGAGCCCCTGGCTAGGGAAGAGTCAGTGTGAACCAGGTACACTCATAAGCAAAACAGAAACACTCAACAGATGCAAAGTGGTGGCTGGGCTGCAAACTAGGTAATTAGAGTATTCTCCCAGCTGGTTTCCACCTCCGACTCCAAAGCAGCAGGCACTGAGAACCCTCCACACATTTAGTAGTTCCAACTTGTCCTCTCTGAGAATGGGTAGCACAGGCACCTCCCACTATGATCTACAGGTCAGAAGCCGCCAGAAGTCACTTTTTTTGCCTCTTGTCTTTCTACACTCCCTGCAATCCAAGAGAGTGGGGAAGGGAGGGGAAGACAGTGCTGAAAGCAGCAGCTACTTTGTGGCTGGGCTACTTTAAGGACAGACATAAAACTGCCATTTCAGCTCCAGTGCAGCTGGCTGTCACTCCCTGGAATGTACAGAAAGCTGGAGGGGAGGACGTGGCGAATGAGAAGGAACTTTTCCATTTCCTATTCGAATTAAGAGAGGATGACAAACACAGCAGGGAGAGACGGAGCCTACGGAAATTTTCCCATTGCCAACCTGGGTCTAGTTTAGGAGCAATAAGCACAGCGGCTACCAGGGGTGGGGGGACATTCTCACCTAGTACTTGCAGCTGAGTGACCAATGATGGGGACGTGGCCAAAGGGGGTCGCCATGGAAATCTGTGAACATCTGTCCATGTGGGGAGGTGACCAGCTCTAGAATCAAAGGCGGTCGCTGTGGGAATTTGTCCAGAGGGAAGCAGTGGGAGGCAGACTGTCCGGTGGTCACTGACCCCAAGGCAGCCTGGGTCAAATGGGGGTCGATGCCCAAATGTTGGGGTGGGGGAGGAAAAGGTAGTAAAGAGAAAAGGGAGAAATCAGATCGGGAAGGAGAAAGGCGAGAGGGAGGAGGAGAAAGGGCGGGAGAAAAGGGTGCTAGAGCGAAGGCGAGAGGAGGAGGACGCGCTGGGAGGGAGCGGAGGGCGGGGAGGCGGCGGGGGCGCCGAGCGGCGGCCGGAGGAGGCGGTGCGCGGCGGTGGCACGGGTGCGCTCGGCGAGCGGTGGTGGCGGCCCGCTCCGGTTGGCTGCTCGCCGAGTCCAGCCCCCGCCCGTGCCTCCTCTTTCCCTTCCCCCCTCCCGACCAGCGGCTGACGGAGAGAAAGTACGTGAAAAGTCCAAGTGCAGCCTCTGGGTGCACAATGGGCTCCGGTTCCTCCAGCTACCGGCCCAAGGCCATCTACTTGGACATCGATGGCCGCATCCAGAAGGTAGCCCTCACCCCTTCTCCCGCTCTGCTTTTCCTCCCCCTGCGACCCTCGCTGTGCCCACCCTGCGGCACCTCCCCCAAGTAGTCCCCATTCCCGGATGGCTGCAATACGGGGTCAATGCGGAGACAGGGTTGGGGTGCAGGCGAGCCTGAACGCGACGCAGGGCGGGGAGGGCGCGGAGGGAAGGCGGCAGAGGCCCCACTCGGCGGGTCGGTGCGCGCGTCCTCGTTCCCGGGTTGGCCTCCTGTGCGGCGCTCCACGCGCGGACAACTTCGGCTGGGGGAGCAGCGGGGCAGGTGTCCCCACGCTCAGACTCCCTCCGAGCTCCCGGTGAAAGGGTGCGACACGCAAGGGGAGAGCATATTCCCCCCCCCCCCCCATTTCGCGGTCAGAGCTTGCCTTCTTAAAACCATGTGAGTCTGAGATTTTATATTCACTGTTGTCTTGTAAAGCCTTTAATTTTCTGTGAAATGACCCCAGAAGCAACCTGCACCCCCTCTAACTCCGGGGCAGGCCTGCGGACAGCTGTGGCTATCCTGGCCACTGAGGGGAGACCCCACTGCCGCTTTCTGTGCATGCAGCTGGAGCAGGTGCTGCGGGGCGGGGCTGACCCAGCTCTAAGCAGGTTGGCGACCTGAGACAGGACGACTCCTCTAGGGGTCCGCCCTGGCCTCTCCTTCGCCACCCGCGCTGGGTTGAGATGGTCCCTAGCCCAGATCTGCAGTTCTACAATCCTCCTTTTTGGAGGTATGTAGTCCTGAGCCCCTAACCCTTAGCTGTTTCCCATAGGGCAAAGATAAAGGGTAACCCTTATCTGTGGCTCTTCACTTTCAAACTCTTTTCTGGTTCAGAGCATCCAGGACCCTGGGGTCTGATTTGGTACAGGGGCCACAAGAAGACACCCTTTTGCTCTCCCTAAAGCCCCTGGGTGGGGGGGAAGTCCTTGTAAAGGCATTGCTCACAAACAAAGTGAACTTTCCAGTGACACCCTAGACTCCTGCTCCTCGCCTCCATGCCAAAGGAGTTGCCCCAAGTGACGGAGCCCGGGAGCAGGGATGTCCCAGGCAGCCTCAGAGGGGGCAGCTGTCACTGCCCAGGTCTCTGGGTCTCAGAGTTGCACACAGCCTCTGCAGGTGCAGAGATTTAAGCCACCAACCGCCCCTTACCCCTATTTCCAAGCTTAATTTCATGAAATGAAAAGTAAAGACCTTCTTCCCGCTCTCACCCACCCCGAAATCTCCCTGCCCTTAGCCAGTACCCGTTACTGTGGAGTCTGCTTTGACTTCTGGGGACCCCGTGTGTGTACTAGAATTGTGAAACTCATAGGGGTTTCAGCGGCTGATTGTTCCCCAGAAAATGGCCAGGTCTGTCAGCCACTAAATGTGTTAACCTCTGACACTACCCAGGAGCACCTTCCTCACCTGGAGGCAGCTTGAATGAAATCAGGGAGGGTGGGGCTGCAAGCACCCCCAGATTCAAGTGGTTCACCCTTTTCATGCCATCAGCATTGGTAAGCGAGTTAATGAATGGTAGATACAGGACTAGACCAGGTTCCTGACTTCCAAGACCAGGCACTTAGGCTGACAGGAGTTGAATAACCTTCATTTTCCCACAAAGGAAGGAAGGGAGTCCAGATGAATATTTCTCTGTTCACACTTATATGTGTACAGAGACATGTTTACTCACACACATATACATCCAACTTTCTACCCCACAAGGTGAGAATTTAGCAGTCTTTTATGGTGTTTTGCTTTGTTCTGTTTTTTTGTAAGAGTTAAGACTTTATCGTTAGGTAAGACTGAAGCCAGCCTCTTCCCCAAGGCCTCCCTCCCTGTGGCAGTGGGTGGATACTGGGCCCCAGAGGGAGGAGGGGAAGGCTGGTCTAGCAGTCAGCCATCATTGCAGGCAGGGCTGTTCACAGTGGACAGGCAGGTTGGACCTGCCTCAGGAAAGGCAGCCCTGCAGCTTGTCCTGGGAGCAGGAGGCTATGGTGTGTGGAGAGAAGGATGTGTCCTGGGGAAGGGGTGAGTCTGATGGGAATCACAGCTCCCCACTTTCCAACACCTTGATCAATCTCTTTGCTGTTCCTTGGTGTTTATAAGCTGGCAGTTCTTTGATATCAGTGATGTTAGCAGGAATCTCAGTATCACTTTTATAGATGAGAAGGGAAAATAAAGATATAATGTCTCCAAATACAGGGAACACATTGAGCTTGGTTCTTTCTTTTCCTTAAAGGCCCTAAAACTGATGCGAATATGGGAAGAGGCACACCATGATATTTACCCCTATGCCCTCGGAACAAGTCTCACTATTTGTTCTTAATTGTGCCCTTGCCCTTTGCCTTCAGCACTGCTTGGGTGGGCAGAGCCAGACACTTAGCTCTGGTAAAGAGTGGGCTTCCAGCATGTGCTGAAGGCAAGTCCTCCAAGTCTCCACACCCACAGTACTGTGGACTTGAGATTTCTTAGCAAAAACATATTGGAAAGGTGGAAAGATGGCAAAGGAGAGGCATATCCTTACCCAGGTGGATTGTCACAGTGACTGCAGCAATGGGTTTGAGTGTGTCAGAGATAAGGAGGGCACAGGACAGGACAGGGCTCAGATCTGTTGTTCATAGGGTCTCTCAGATTCATACTCAACTTGAAGGCCCTAACAACAACAAATTATCAGGGCTGCTATGTCTCCTCTTAAGGCCCAGGCTCTGGGTTGTTTCTGAGCCTCATATTCCCAGCATGCAGGTGTATCCCCCCCCCTCTTAGCTACCCCATCATCTCCCCATTGAAGGCCGTGGGGGGAAACAACTCATGTTGCTTGAGGAACAGAAACTCGCCAAACAGTTGCCCTCAAGTCAAGCCCAACTAACTCATGCTATGTCCCATGCATGCGTGTATCAGAGTAGAAATGTTTTCTTGACTGAAATCTTTACAGAAACAAATTGCCAAGCCTTTCTTTTGTGATGGCATCATGTGTGTCCAACCACCCATCTTTAGTGTAAAGTGCTTGCGCCACCCAGGAACTTTTCCAAGGAGCCTCCTGTGTTGTGCTGGCTGTCAGTCATGGCACAGGGAGTGGTCAGCTCCCACACTGTGTTCCTTGCCTTAGGTCATCTTACACTTCTCCAGGAGTGGAAAGATTGAGAGGAAAAGGACGTGGGAAATGGTGACCTATGCAGATGATCTCCACTCCAGCAGAACATGGGGCCAAGGTCTCCAGTTGGTGACAGGGAGGCTGGCCGAAGCGCCCATGTTTCCTCTGAGGATGAGAACTTTAGAGAATTTAGGCGACATCACCTTGGCCAGGCCTCTATGCCTTTTCTTACAATAGGAAAACTTTGGGCTGGCTCAGAGTCACACTGTATATATGGGGTGCAAAGTGAGAACCAGCAGTGGATGTCAGGGGGATGCACAAACCATGTTGGTAGACCCAGTTCCTATTCTGCAGCTTTCCATGGGGGACGGGGGGTGGGGGCGCAGACTGAGCTTCCACTCCCAGCCTCTCCACTTCAGCGCACTGTGCTCTTGGGTTGAGAGCCTAACCTCTGTGTGCCACTGTTTGCTCAGCTGTGAAATAGCAATGACAGTAGGATGACCTACTGCAAGAAGTAGGGAGAAAAAGGCAAACCACATAGTTATTGGAGAAATGTCTGTGAACACTGATGGCCTGTGATCTGGGACACAGTGTGAGTGTGACACTAGGGATGCTCAGTTAGTTCCTAGTGAGTAGTGGCCACACTGAGACTCACCTCTGCAGCCTGAGCCAAGCACTGGTCCAGCGCTGGCTCTCACTGGCATTGTTTTAGGGGTCACTGTGATGGTGCGGCAGCAGGGCAAGGCCTGAGGCTGCGTCAGAGAGCTAGTGAGAGTCCTAGTAAATAGCATTCCCTTCCTCCGTGGCTAGAAAGATGTCATGGCAGGGGCACCTCTACAGAAATGAAAAGGAGGATCGTGAATGCCCCAAGGTTGATTTCTATGAGGTGGAGGTCAGGAAAACCTGGAACTCCCAGCCTTTTTACCAATTTGGCACCAGGCAGCCTTCCCTTGACACCTTTTGCTTCTCTGCTTAGTTTGAGAATTTGTTAGAGTGGCCCTGTAAGACTCACAGATCAAACAATCATGAGACTTATTAGGGAACTAAAGATTACAATTCAAGTCCGAGAACACTTGGGGCACAGTTCTTAGATCAAGACAGTCTCTTTTCAGACGTGCCCATAGGCAGGCCTTTCTCTCCACCACTCAACTTGGCCTCTGTCCTGCTGGATAAGACAACGGTTACAAAGCTCTTCTAGCTCTGCCAGAAGAACGTACCCTAAGGCACTGGACTCTAGCAGTAATCCTCGGCCTCACAGCAGTGGCCTCGAGCATCCTGCATCAGCAAGCACAGCTCCACCAAGTTCCTGGAGGAGTGCTACCCCACCAGCAAGCGTCCTTTCTCCTCTTTCTGCTCTCTCTCTCTCTCTCTCTCTCTCCTGTTAGTCTCCCACCAGTCTCCTGGTTCTGCTGTTCTGCTGTTAGTATCTCTCTACAGCTGCTTCTCATGTTACAGCTCACTCTCATTCTCTCTCTCTCTGTCTGTTCCCTAAGTCAGTGAGCTTCTCTGTGCATTGATCCTGCACCATGCTCCACTCCTGGCTCTTCTTTCTTAGTGGTCCTGGGGTCCCCCTCTGCTCATCTGTCTCTCATTTCTTTTAAGCTAAAGGTATGACTCGAGCAAGGGTGGTGACTTGAATAAGGGTCAGGGTAGTGACTAGGGTAAGGGTTATGACTTGAATCACATCCTCTAGGAAGACAGTGACTCAAGGGATAGCGAACCATAAGCCTTTCTCATTAACATAATAGATATCTCACTCCCAGTTGGGACCATAAGTGCAATCATAGAAGTTAGGGCTTATAATACATCAAAAGATGATAGATCATTACATCAGATCAAATTGGAGGACATACTGACAATACTTGGGATCATGGCCCACTCACATTGGCACATAACCCCAACATCACAGGCTC